AAATTATTTTTTCCTTTTATTTATATGCTTTCTGAATTTCTAAATTAGCTTTCAATTTATTGAATATATAATGTTATCTATATAGAAAAGAAACAAAGAATTGCCTATCTATATTTTGCATCGGATCATATATGACGCTTAACCAAGTGTCCAAGTCCATGCTCTCCTTTTTCTCACAATCAAGTTTTTTTTTTTTTTAAAGAACTAAGCATAGTCTTTTTCTGGTTAGTATAAATCAGCACAATGTAAATTTTAATTAATTTAGTTCAACACATTAATTTACCCATGAAAGTTAGTAATTGGAGCATGCTCTTTTTCCCCAAAAATCAATTTTTTTTCCTTACAGTAGCTAAGCATAAATTTTTTTTTCCCTGGTAAGTAGAAATCAATATGGTATTTGATTAATGTATCACTACGCAATAATTTGCAAATGAAGCTCCAAGTCTAATCACATGGACAATAATCATTGAATGTGACCTCTAATTAGTTTGGTTAACTACCAAAAGCCAAATATGCTTTTAAATTTTGTATATAATCCCTCATATATTGATTTTTTTTAATTTATTCAAAAGAAAAGATAGCCCACTTTTTATCTTATGAAATTATCTTAGTAAAAAAATCAAAGTTTTTTGGGTATAAATTTATGCATATAATAAGCATGTGCGTGTCCACGAAGAATACTCACGAAGGAATAACACAAGTACCCAACTTTCATCCTTATCTTAAAGGTTGACTTTTCTTTGAAAAAAGGATTTTCTTCTGCAAAATAATATTCGCAAACAGACAACTGAAATACTACCTCCGATTCTAATTATAAGAGTCAATTAACTAATTTAAGAAAATTAAAGAAATAAGTTAAGTTAGTTATTTGTAATAAATAGGTATTATCTTTTCTAAAATATCCTTGCTAATATGGTGTATTGGTTAGAACTACTATTATTAGAAGAATTATCTTAGAAAACAATGTATAACTATAAGAGACAAAGTGGATTGTAGTCTTATATTTATAATTAAAATAAAAATTAAGAACCGGACGTAGTATTATCTTTGCCCACAGGTTTTTTACCTTAAAAAGTAATTGATTGCATAAATAGAAACAGAAGAATTGATGAGCTCAGATGTTCAAAAGGAAAAATACAAAAAATCAGCTACGCTCAATTTTCGGCTCCTAATTGGGAAGGCCATGTGCTACATGGGTTTATGTGACGCGTTATTTCCAAGTTCACTAAATAGTATGTAGTCTTTTGGAGCCAAAAAGGAAAAAGGTCTAATATGTAGCCTCACTTGAACATGGAACGTTATTGTGATTATTTCTTAAATTTCTCAATAAAAAATAAGTTCTGTTCTTCATATTTACATAGCGGTGAAATTAAAAGCCATGAACCTAACACTGTTGATGCTTAGATGGGTTCTTTAAACATTTACTTGAGTTGATCTTGTGGCCAATACTAAAACCCATTTAAAAAGTCTATAGTGTGAGAGAATTAGTTACTGTTACTAACGATAAATATATACCTTGGGCTTAACAAAAAAAGAACAGTAAAATTAAAAATAGAATTCTCAAACTTTAAATTATATAAAAGTCTCTAGTGAAAGAGGCTTTGACCCTTTAAGTATGATATCCCTAGTTTGAGTTTGTGTGAGTGTAAAAAATCCAGCTAAGAGGATTACCATCAATTGAACTTAGTAATATTTAAATATGATCCAATCAAAAAGGTATATTAATAATAAATACCTCCAAAATTTTTAAATTTGTATAAATGGTTTGATAACAAATGTTAGCATTGAAGAGCAAGAAGTTGAAGAGGGGAAAGAGCCACATGGAATTGGAACCCAGTTCCATGGGGTGAGTCGTGACTCGTGAGTGATGGAATTGACTTCCATCGATCTTGATGGAAATGAGTTCCATCAAGAACCCACTTCTAATGCGCCAAACAATCACAAGGCTGAGTTTCCCTTCCAATTCCCCTTCCCTCTTTTCAATTCCATGCTACCAAACTACGCATAAAAGCATCCTCAAAGTTGGAGTCAAGCCCATAGGCTTTAGACCTTCTTAAAAATTTTCAATATTTTTACGTCTTTTTAAATAAATAAAAACGATGCAATAAATTTTATAAGATTTATAATTCAAATCATAAACATAAATATTAGTAAATGAAAGTGCTGAGCTAGCTATTATCAAAATATCCAAAAGTAAACAAAGGGGTGTTTGAGATTGTATAAAAGTACTTTGCAAAAGCACTTTTCCGTGAAACGATACAAACTCCTTCACATATTTATTTCGTATACTATAAAATACTTTTAAAATTATGATTTGATTTCTATCTAAACAACCCCAAATCTATAACAAACAGTAAATCAAAATCATAGACTTGGTGTCTCACCATCCCAAATCTATAACAAACACTAAATCAAAATCATAGACTCACAGTGTCTCACCATAATTATTATGTATTAATGGTAATATGCGTGTAACAAAATAAATATAAATTACCCTTACATAGTAAAATCATTCAACAAGCCACAAGCATCAATAAGAGCCTAAGCATCAATCAGAAGAAGGAAACTTCTCTTTTCTCTTAGAGTGTGTGAACCAGTGCTAAAAAGTGATTCACTGGCTATTGTAGTGATTACATACTAAATATTAGTAATCGTCCTTAAAAAAATTGGAAATCAATGTTGATTATGTCCTCACATGAGTGATCATGTTTTTTTTTTTTAATTATCACGCTGAATTATTGGATCTTCCAAACAATCCTCTAGTTTAGATTTGTCCATAGAAAAAAGATTCATAGTTGCATAAATATCTTGATAATCCTACACAATGTTTATGTAATTTATAAAGGATGTAAACAATTTTAATTAAGTATAATTGTCAAAATGGCTATAACTGTCAAATACAAAAAAAGGAGGGATCTACTATGTGGTATCAAGGAAAGAATATGATTGCTAATGTCATGAAACTGGTGAATGACAGGGTACACTTTCCGAACTAGAAAATGACAATAAGTTCTAAGTTTCATTTGTTATTGATAATTTTTAATAATTGTAATACTAATATTTCTTTGAGATCTGATAATGATTTCTCAACCCAAAAAAAAAAAACCTACTTAAACAAGTTTGCCCTTGATAGACTTGTCTCGTTTTGTTGGCTCTAGTTATCTACCCATCATTTAAATTAATAAAACAATGTATTAATAAATGATAAGAGATTTATTTTAAAAAAGGTACAAAAGTGTGGATAATGAAGATATAGAATCAATCCTTAAAAAATAATCTAGGCAGGATGAATGAAATAAATAGTACTAGCTCGGTTATTAATTAAGAACTGTATAATTAACCTGTCAATATTTAAAAAATTAGTTATGTTAGTTATTTATAATATATTAAAAAATTAGTCATGCTAGTTATTTATAATATATGGGCATTTCCTAAAATACCCATGTCAATCATAATTTTGCAACTTAAAAAAGCTAAAAAATTGATATAAGAATTCATAACGATTATACTACATCTCTCTTTAATATAAGAACTAGTTGAGACTCATTAAAAAAAAAAGAACTAGTTGGGGATTCAATTTGATTATAATTATAAAACTTTAATTCATTTGGTCTCAAGTATTTATCCAATGGCCCCCCAAAATAATCTATATGGTGACTACATATGTTAAGAAGTTTGTATCAAAAAATAATTCTAATACACATATGTACATGATTAATAAAAATATTTTAAAAAGACAATATTTATTTATTATAAATTTTAATTAATTTCTTTAACAGTGTGGAATTAGTTATCTATATTAGGGATAAGATGTAGTAACACATTTAACGCTCCAAATATTTTGTCTTCGGCCCCAGAATGTTTTTGAGACGGCATCAACTTAGAGACAGTGGTGTGTGTGGGTTTCCTCTCATAAATAAAACTAAATAACTTAGTTTCAACTACTAGCTATTGACAAAGCTCTTGACATAATATATTTAAGGATTTTTTTTAAATGAAAAACAGATCTATTAATAAAAGAAGATTACAAACTACTACCCATTTCAATTTTTAATATAGTTATTTGTAAAAAATGTATATCGGTTTCTTTAAAATGTCTTTTTAAATCATTTGTATTGAGACTAAACTCTTTTAACATGTAAAATCAATAAAGATAGTTTAAAAAAACAATAATAAATATGGGTGATAAAAATGGATTAAAGTCTTATATTTAAAATCAAATTTAATTACTAACCTTAGTCTCAATTATAAAACTTCATTTATAGTTTATAAACGAGGTCTTATAATTAAGATCGGAAATAGTAATTCCTGAGGATGAGAATTAATAGTTAAAAGTTTAAGACAAGGTCTTTTTAGCATCCACCACCTTTCTACAATAAATATGGGTGAACGTTTGAATGTGATAGGCTAATAGCTCTCATACATTCTCTCCATTTCTCACTTCCTTGGAAGAAACAGCTTTTTTATATTATTGTCTAACACTTTGAGCAACACAGAATTAACTTCAACAAACAAAAAATAGTATAAAAAATAATATTGCCTTCGAGATCTCCATCCGAACTCCAAAGTTCCAACTCGAGTTTTTATTAAAAAAAAATCTCAAAAACTGGGAGAGGAAGATATAAATTGTAACTAAAAAATTATAAAAAAAAGATATTTTCTTGAGATAAAAAAAATAAATAACTCAAAAAATTAATAGAAAAAATAATATTGTTTTCCGAAGTTCCAGCTAGAATTTTTTTTTTTTTTTTGGGGAGAAATCTCAAAATCTGGGGGGCAGAGGATGTTAGGGGAGAAAAGAAAGAAAGAAAGAAAGGGGGAAAAAAAAAAGACATTTAGGTCATTGCAAATGGTAACGGCTACTTTCTTGAAACATAGCCGTTATCACGCTTCCTAGCCTGCGGAAGTAGTCATGTTTTTTTTTTCCTCGAAACGCAGAAGCACTCACTATATAATCCCACTGGATCCTTCTCATCTCTCACATTCATTCTTCTCTCAGCCCTCTTCACTGCAGCGCTCTCAGCACTTGATTAGCTCTCGCGATTTTTCTCGTTTTCTATTGTTATTTCTCCTCTAACCGTCGTTTTTGCAGGGACTCCTTCTAGATTCGTGATCTTTGTGATCTCTCTTTTCTTCTGCTTATTATTTCTTTTTTCTATTGTATATTCTGTTTTGTTTTTGTTGCGCTTCGTTTTGTGTTTTGAATAATGGATGCAGGGTCTTTGAGTTCTTCCGCAAATTTGAAAACACAATCTCGTTGCCCTCTTCAGGAACAGTTTATTCAGAGAAAGAGTTCCCGAGAAAATGTAAGAAACCTTCTTTCCCGCATTTTGGGGGTTTCTTTGCATGTTATTTTCCGTGAATCATTTGCTTTTTCTGCGATTCCAAATTTCAACCAACTGTTTTGGTTTCTCTTTCGATCGCTAAATCAAGGGTTTGATTTTGAAGAAACTGGGGTCTCTGTCGTTAAAATCTAGTCTCTAATGGCTTTTTTATTTTGCTTTCTTGTTAATGTAAATATCACCAGTTGGATAGATTTATACCAAATCGTTCAGCCATGGACTTCGATTACGCACACTACATGCTCACAGAAGGGGCAAAAGGTAAGGAAAATCCCTGCGCGACCTCACCCTCAGCCTACAAGAAGCAGCTTGCAGAAGCCATGAACATGAACCGGACGCGAATTTTAGCTTTCAAGAACAAGCCGCCTGAACCAGTTGAATTAATCCCACGCGAGTCCACCACAACTCTTCATGATAAATCCGCTAAGCCCAGACGGTTTATTCCTCAGGTACATTCCTAAGATCTAATTATTCTACAATAGATTTCAATTGAGCTCGTATGTCTTGAATAAACTCCCTCAGAAAAGTTCAATTCGTTTTGAAACACTAGCAACTTATTAGACTCAATTTTGCGTTTCACTAGTTAAAGGGGCTAGTTCTTGGGGCCTGAGAAAGGATGTATTTCAATACTATTCAAGTTGTGTGGATTTGATGGTCTGAGTTTTCTGAACCACATTCCACGTTTCTGTTCTGACATATTTATTGGTTATGCAGAGTTCCGAGAGGACATTGGATGCTCCAGACCTTGTGGATGATTATTACCTAAATTTACTTGAATGGGGAAGCAGCAATGTTCTAGCAATAGCACTTGGAAACACAGTGTACTTATGGGACGCTAGTACCGGATCTACTTCCGAACTTGTCACTGTCGATGATGAAAACGGGCCTATCACCAGCATTAGCTGGGCTCCAGATGGAAGGCATATCGCTGTGGGCTTGAACAATTCCGAAGTGCAACTTTGGGACACCGCTTCAAATCGACAGGTTTTTGTCTTAATAAGAATCTCACTTGTTTAACATATTCGTATGTTATATCTGTGCTTAGCCTAAATTTCTTTCTTGTTATCACTTGTTGGCTTCTGCAGTTGAGAACTCTGAGAGGTGGTCATAGGCAGCGAGTGGGGTCTCTGGCATGGAACAATCACATACTCACTACAGGAGGAATGGATGGTAGAATTGTGAACAACGATGTAAGAATTAGATCGCACATTGTCGAAACCTACAGAGGACATGAACAAGAGGTTTGTGGGCTGAAATGGTCAGCCTCAGGTCAACAATTAGCCAGCGGAGGAAATGACAATCTGCTTTTCATATGGGACAGAGCTATGGCCTCTTCTAACTCAGCTACACAATGGCTTCACAGACTAGAAGAACACACATCTGCAGTAAAAGCTCTTGCTTGGTGCCCTTTCCAAGGAAACTTGCTCGCTACTGGTGGGGGAAGTGGAGATAGATGCATTAAGTTCTGGAATACCCACACTGGTGCTTGCTTGAACTCAGTTGACACTGGGTCTCAGGTTTGTGCCCTGTTGTGGAACAAGAATGAGAAGGAGTTACTCAGCTCTCATGGATTTACTCAGAATCAGCTGACACTTTGGAAATACCCATCAATGGTCAAATTGGCTGAGCTCAATGGTCATACCTCTAGAGTTCTTTATTTAGCTCAGGTGGGTTTGCAGATAGTGGTTTTCTTGAAGCACAAAACTTTTATCCTATTCAATCTTGCAAGATTATTATTATAAAACTTTCTCTGATTATGTTAAGTTTTTCAACTTACTGCAGAGCCCAGATGGTTGTACAGTGGCATCAGCAGCAGCAGATGAAACATTGAGATTCTGGAATGTATTTGGAGCTCCAGAAGCAACCAAGCCTGCTCCAAAAGCAAGATCTGAGCCATTCTCAAATGTTAACCGAATTCGTTGAGTTGCTCAATCCTTGAACTCTCACCATCCAAGGTGCACAAACATACAGACAACACAAGATACAAATAACAACAAGGACACTTCAAACGGTCCAATACCATGATCGTCTTTTTTCACTGATTGTGAATGCTTCCATAGTTTCAACATATAATTTAGTATAGCTTTGAGTTTTGATGTACATTTTCTTGTAATAATCAGTCTAAGTTTTGAAAAGTACAACTTTTTGTTGTCTGTCATGTGATGATAGCAAAAACCAAATGCTCTAAAAGGGTCTTCAAACTCATGCATACATTCTTGTGTAACTTTGCCTGTGGTTCACTCCTGTTTGAAACTTGTGTATCTTGTAAACCGCCAGATTTATGGAAAATATGGAAGGTTTCTTATTGTTAAACAGACAATTTTATAGTTAAGTATTCTTACGGAATCAAACTTAAAAGTTATATTTGAATGAAGAAATATCAAGGTTTTCAAAACCGCACATCAACTCTATTGATGGATGTTGGTACCAAAAACTTCTTCAAGCTATATGATAAAAACTTACAAAAAGTGCAAAGGTAACCCTCCGAAGTTGAAGTTCTTTTTCTTTAAATTTTATGTTACATTAATAATTAATAAACTGTGTTTAGCCATCCATTAATGGTTTTGATTGTTTATCATTAAAAAAAAAAAAAGTTGTTTAACATTTTAGCCATGTTGGAGAGTTGAAGAAAAAGATAAAATCATCATCATACAAAATGTAGTAGCAAGTTTTGAACCCGAAAATTTTTTTCCAACTGTGACACAAGTAAGCTAATATTTTTCATCGTATTATTTAATTAAATTAGTCTTTTAATATCTTAATTTATTCAAAGTTTCATATAGTAATCTTTCGAATATAAAATATACAAATGAAATGACTTATCTAATGAAACTGCCACCCTTTCTTAGGTTCTTATTTAACCTTATCATACACAATAAGCCTAGATCCCTCGCAAAGTATGGAATAAAAACTGCAAGCATTTTTGAGAGAACATATATATACAACGACTCAACAGTAGTAATTCGAGACTAGTAAATTGTTCTGGTTATATATATCGATTTTTTTTTCTGAGTTATGTTTTGAACTACAGACTGGGAGATGACAGTAGTTGAAGGGTGGTTTTAATATGTGCTTGTAGAACAAACAAATACCAAAAAGTCAGTTTTTGCTGGAAGTTTGGCCCGTTTGTTGCATAATGGCAGAATTGACTACAACCAGCAAGTCAATTATTTTTCCGGTGATCTAATCTGAATCTGAACATGACATCTAGATGGGCTAACCCCCTCGATATTTTTCTTTCTCTCTCAATCTGTTTCGTATTGATTTCTCCGAAAGCTCTAGAAACAAAATCTCAAATGCATAGTCTCCATAAAAAAAAAAAAAATCTTGTTAGATAATTCAAAAATACTACTTTTAACTTCTGACAAAGCTCGAGAACATCCTTGATACCAGAGATTATATATATAGAGAACTCATTCTTTAAAAGATATAGTTTTTTTTTTTCCTATGTTTTATCCTGATGGATCCAAGATTGGTGAAGTCTGCTCAACTGGGAGACACAGGCGCGCTTAATGAATTACTAGCAGGCGATCCCCTGATATTGGACAGAGTTGCTTTATCTCAGATTGCAGAAACTCCATTGCATATTGCTACACTTGCAGAGAGAGCCAACTATGTAAGAGAACTTCTGAGTCTAAAGCCTTCTTTTGCAGAGGAACTGAACAAAGATGGCTTCACTCCTTTGCACATAGCCGCAGCCAAAGGAAGCACCGAGGTAGTGAGAGAGCTATTATCATTGAAGCTTGGGCCTAACCTGTGCCTCCTCAAGGACAAGTTTGGGATGAACCCACTTCATCATGCAGCCATAAGAGGAAGGGTTGGTGTGATTCAAGAGTTGGTCTCTTTCTGTCCTGATGCAGCCAAACAAGTCACTGCTCAAGGTGAGACTTCTCTTCACCTTGCTGTGAAGAATCACCAGTTTGAAGCAGTTAGGGTTTTGGTGAAGCTTTGTGGGGAAGATGATGAGATTATGAGCTCAAGGGACAAAGATGGAAGAACAGCCCTGGAGATTGCTATGGCTACGGAACAACTCCAAGTAAGATTATATGATAAAATTGCTATTTTTCTTTTCAAGCTCCGCATCATCCTGTTTCATATGCAGTAAAATTATAGCTGAATAATTTAGATGAGTTTAATTAGAGATTTCAATTGAAGAATTCTGAATCTAAGATTATGTGAGCACATACAGGACTATCTTATGGAAATAGCTTCTCGATAATACAAATATGATGATTTTTTTTTTGGCCTGAATCAGATATATGGAATTGAATTTACCTTCATGATTTTATTTTTCTTCCTTTTTATTGCCGATGTTCTTCATCATAATAACATCAAAAAGAACAACTCACTAATATTTGCGTAAAGCAATTGTTCGGTTTTTATAGATTGACTGACTGGTGAACTTAAAGTCAACAGCTAATAGTCAATGCACCAGCTTAATAAATAGTTATATACAAACAGACACAAATGTACACGGTTATTATTGATAGCAAGTCATTAAGGAGGTACACCTAGCTAGAGATTTTGATAATCAAATAGTTCCTTTGGTCACAAATATAAGATTTGGATAACTAATTCATAAAGATTAATGAAATTTGTTAAGTTAGTTATTTGTAAAAAAAACGTGTGTTAGGAAAACTCTCTTTAATCATTTGCTTTGAAAAATATCTCATTAATAGAAATTCTTTTAATATGTGCAATGATAGGGGTGGTTTAGAGAAAAAAATTATAAATTTGAAAGACAAATTGAACTGAAGTCTTATATTTAGAACCAAACAAACCCTCTTAAATAGCTCTTATATTTAGGATTAAAGGAAGTATTTGGTAATTGAGAAGTTTATTGACATAGACTACATAGTGATTTTAGTGATAATCATCTTCTAATTGACAGTGTCCTGATTTTTTTTTTTTGAAATACTTCGGCAGGTCCTAGAGTTGTTGGGATTCAAAGGCAAAACTAACAAAGACAATAACACTCTAGAGGTCCTTTTATCAGAAACTAAGTTCGAGACACCTGAAGCCACAACACAGAACGGCAATAATGCAGACACAACAACACTGACTTCCCGGCAAACAGAAGAGAAATCTAAGAAGGGCATATTTGAGAGTTTAGACCAAATGGTACTAGTTGTGGCCAGTTTAATAGCCACAGTCACTTACCAAGCTGGCCTTTCACCTCCTCAAACAATCTGGAAGGAAGACATGAAGAACCATCCTAAGTGCATCTTCCACAGAACCAACCCATCTCATTCCTGTCCAGATATCACTTACTATCTATTCATGTCTTTCAACACAGCCGGGTTTTTTGCCGCGGTCTTACTCATATTCTTCTACGGAAAAGGGTCCTATGTCAGAGTTTTGCTGCCGGTTGCTCTTGTTTCGATGATGATAACTTACATAACTCTCTCAGTTTCTATGTCACCTAATGCTTTGTCCTTGCTCATTCTTTACCTAATCACACTGGCCATTTTCCTTTACTGCATTCTGGCAATTGAAATGGTGAAGAAGGCTACTCACAAAATGTTCAGTTATGCACATGACAGAGCTGGTAAGCTAGCAAGGCTGGCATATGAGAGATATAAGCCGGCTGGAAGTTCAGGAGAGCAACCATGAAGGATAATGTTTGAATATTTGATGAGTTAGTGAATTCTATATGCAGCAGATTATGATAGTACATCACTATTACTATTGTGGAATTGTTGTTGTTAGTGTTTATTCAAGTTTAGCAGCAAGTCTGTTCATAAAATGCAGTCCTGTAAATTGGGTCTAGGTCTTTAAAAACAGTGAAATTTTGGATTGTACAAGGTGTGGCTTGTTTAAAGGCAAGTTGAATGTGTAGGTCTTTAAATATTAAATCAAATAGAGAAATAAGAGAGCCAAATACTTTCATGGTAGCAAATGACTTGATAATTAAATTGTCTCTCAGACAAACACAGGAAATTACATTCCATGATCCAAACTTCATAAAATTTATAAAGGACCTTAACAATTCAAATTATTTTCAAGGACCAGGTACCCTTAATTTTAGCCATCAGTGGACAAAAACACGGATGAACAGGACTTTTTTTTTGGGGGTCAGAATGTAAGTTCGTAATTTCTTATGCTTCCTAGAATCTTAAACTTCAAACTCTAGTAAGATTATCACTATAAATTTTTTTTTTTTCCCGGTGATCTATTACCATCAAATTTTAGGTTTCTTACCACGTTGCATCGTTTTAGCACTAGGAAGTTACAAACGAATACTTCCACAAACTCCAAGAATATATATTATAGTTATATTGTTTCACAGTTCTTGCTCCATAATTTCCATTAAAAAAAAAATCCAGACTTTTCATTAACAAATTCTAAATTTCTTACCACATTACTTCTCAACTGGTGAGATTAGAAAATCACACCTTGAATTTCTCAAAAGTCATAATAAGAACGTCAAAATTTCTAACTCTAAAAAAATTGAGCTGTTCTTTTTTCCTCTTTGTTTAATGACAGTATTGTCTATTCTATTCATTATAAATATTAAATCCTTCAGCTTTGAGAAATCACGAGTTCTTTAAGCTTTTTATTATAAATTTTGTTAAATTTATATCCTTTAAATGTTAAGGCAGTGGGTCCAAAGATCTACAAAGACATTGGGAAATACTGTTTGTGACTCATACATAATATGACTTCTTCCAAGATTTTAGATTATACATGGAATATGGATATGGATTTTCCCAAAAAAAAAAAAAAAAACCACTGGTGATATAGTATGGATGGTACGTACAGAAGTGGCCCCTAATATACGGAGCATCAATTACAACTATTTACGCATAATACACCCACCATATCTCTCTTACTTGAATTTATATAAGGATTACAAAAGCATACATATTTCATAATAAGTAAGGACTTGAATATAAATTCCAAAGGCAACTAACTAGCCACTTTTATTCCATACATTACACGCTTTGACATCCTGGTAACTCCACCTTCATGCCAAGTTAGCCACGCAGAGTCTTCATTAACCTGAAAAGGGAAAAATCAAAGCACATCTTTAATCAACCCCACTAAACAAGATGCATTGAAGGCACATCAAACCCCAAATTTAAAAGAGAGGTCCATTACAACCAGAAATTCTTTGTGCAATGAGTAAAATTAAGATGGTAAAACCAAAATTATTATATTTCTTTGGTTCTTAATATAAGACCTAATTAACTAATTTGAGTAGATTAATGATATTACTCTTCCAGTCCTAAATATAAGACCCCTTTCGTAGTGTAAATTACATTACGGAAAGAGTCTTATATTTAGGACCGGAAGAGTACTTAAATTAGTTAATCAGTTAAGGGGATGTTTGGCAACCCTCAGAGAAGCACTTTTCCGCAAAAAGAGGCAAACTCTTCTACATATTTACTTCGTAAACCGTAAAAGCATTTTTGAAACCATGGTTTGGTTTCCATCCAAACACTCCTTTAATATAATATGTTTTTTCTAAAACACCCTAAGTATCTTCCTTAATTATCTCCCTCCCTCTCCTCCTTGATTATTGTTAAGGAAATATCAATAGGGTTAATTTAGAGGAAAAAAACTAATAAATATGTGAAATAAGTTTTACATATAAGATCAATATCAACTTTCTAATTAAATCCTATCTTAAGGACTAGAGGAGTGCTTGACATAGGAAAATCAAACAAAGGAAAGCAATGAAATGCAAAAATCATGACATAAGGACATTAGAGCTAATATTGCTTAAAGCAAAATCATACAGGTCATGTTATTGAACAGCAGAAAAAATTCAAAGGAATGGGCGATTAAGAGCATGTGATGAGGCTTTCAATTTGAAGTAGGTGTAAAACATATTGTCCAATTTATCGTCATCAAAAGGATTAATCGTTAGGCGTAGACACTAATTTATCCCGTAAGCTGTTCCTTTTTTGCAGTCTTAAGGCCATGCCAGGATCGAGTTCTGGGCTTATGCCTACTTTAGCACAGCAAGAACAGCAAAATAGTTTGCCTATTTTAAATAGCTATGCACGTTCCATAAAGATGCAACAGATAGGTCTATGTTAGCGATCTAATCCTACTCCCTTGTTCTTAATGGAGCAAAGGCATAATAATTGACAAGGTTATTCTTCTCGATCTCATGAACATCCAAGTCTTCTGTATGAGGACAGAGTTCTGCTTTCACGACTTGTTATAGTAAAAGGCATAATTTTGCTTTGTTCCATTAGAATAACAGTTCCATTAATTAAAAAAAATAGCAAATTCCACAGCCTTTCGTTCTTTAAAACTTTCTTCAAACGCTAGTTATCAGAGGGTTAAAAATTGAACACTTTTCCAGCTAAACTTAAAAGTTCTTTTGGCTACTTCATAAATATTGATAAAAACCAGAAATGGTTCCCTCAGAAGACAAACATGAATAATAGCAAACATTTCAAGCTTTAAATCCAACCAAAGCACAGTGTGCAGTGCAGTCAAATACCTAGGCAGAAGACTCAGCAGGGGCATCACCAACGGGCTTAAACTCCTGAACTTCCTTAAAGTTCAGCCATGGCTTAACCCAAATTTTGGTTTCATAAACCTTTTTCTTCCCACCATCGCTTGCCACCAGCGTGATGTAGTACATTGTGCCAGCAACCACCTGCTCTTTTGCACTTATCACCTTTTGAAACTCCAGAAGAGCATTCTGCAATAGAATAAGACTAACAATATAAATGGAGAATATTCCACCTACGTGATCTTTTATTTCAATTGTGAAATGTAGAACGGAGAATCCCAATTGTGCTACTAGAAATATGAACCAACAATATAAATATCTTCAATCAGACAAATTGGATAATACAAGAGTAATCTGGATTCAGAAATTTGATTCAAACAAGAACTTAACACCATCAAATCCACGCCGAAACAGATCATCGGCGGCCAACCCAGTTCCAAAATAACTTCATATTTCAGTTTCCTCCTCGAATTTCAGTAAGGGAAAACCCAATCGGGAAGAGGGGGAGGAGGAGGAGTAACAATAATAATGAGATTAATAACGAACCTCCTTTTTGTTGTAGTCTTCAACAGCAAAGCGAGCAAGACTTTCGATCTCAAGGCTGTTCTGGCTGCCTGGAACGTCCTGAATACCACCGGGTATTCCCGCCATTTCTCTCCTCGCTCTATCTCCCTTTTGTTTTGATTCGATTTCGATTCAATGGGCAGAGCGGATTCAGTTTTCTGATTTCCCCTTTTTATGGAGTAGCGAGAGTACAATCGATCGCTTCGCAATGGTTAACTTTGGCGCGTTGGATGGGATCGAGTGAGGCGGAAATATTTATAGTCCGTTAAGTTGCCAGCGTGTCCCAATCAAATTTCAGAATCACAATTGTCAGTCCAAAAGTCACCGTTGACTTTAGTGGGGTAATGTGAGGGAGCACGCAAGATGAAATTTCCCAGCTGGATATTTTATCTTAAGCCTTAAGAAATGGACACGTAAGAGTGGGCCAGAATACTTTTGAAATGTAAAATCTGTGGATACGGAGAATGTGGAAAGTGAGGGGATGATTCCGTGATGGATTCGCTTGTCATTTTGTTGGCACGTGCTTTATTATTATCGGGCACGAGGATAAACGGTTGGAAATTAGAACAAAAGAGGTGGAAATTTGCAAATTTTTTCTTGTTAGTATAATCTCCTCTCTTTTTTTTTCATAAGGTTCTCCTCATTTTAATTTTAATTTTTCAGGAATAGTTAAAATTTTTATTGAAATATACAAATCAATATTGTAAATGAAAAGAAGATTGAAAAACCAAAATGTATGATTTAAAATTTGAGAAACCAAAACTAAAATAAGAATAAATTTAAGAAACCAAAAGTTGTACTAACCTTTTTTTTTTTAAAAATTATGAATAAGACAACATGAGATCAATACAAAGATGATTTCAAAATGGTAAGTTCATCATTCCAAGACAAGGATGATATTTCTGGCAAAAACGCCAAGGATGATATTTGGATTGCGTGAAAAAAAAAATCTCTTAAATAAAATTTTGTGTTCATGCTTAATGAATTGAAAAAAAAAATTAAAAACACTATTCGACAGAGTAATTCTATATCTAAAGTCCAACAATATTGAAATCTTCTGGCCAAATAAGACAATATTAAAATATGAAATAATAATATCTAAGTTTCTATTTGTGAGATATTCATTATAGGATATGGTTTTTGTAGTTGTTTCATGTTTCCCGATATAAGATGTTATAAAGAACAAATGATTAATTAGTGATATTATTCTCAATATCCTTCATTAGTTAAGTGTGATTAGTACCTTTTTGGGCAGCTAGTTAAGTGTGACTAGTACTAAATAATGGGCACTTCTAAAGTTTTATACTTTTTTAATAAACTTAAAATCAATCAATCAATCATCAATCAATTATATCCTTAAAAACTTGTAATACCCGTTCATTTAAAAACGGGTTGGTTATGATATTATGAGATATGAATATATTTAATTAATGAGATTTGAATAATACTTTGATTAGAATGTGGGTATATTGAATTAAATGAGAAATATCATTATTAAATAAAATTTCAATTGGATGCTTAAATGAAGAAACTAATAATTAATTTTGAATTTGAATAATATCTTAATTGATATTTGAATATATTGAATTAAATAGAAAGTATCATAATTAAATTGTATGTCAATTGCGGGTGTAAATGAATAAATAAATAAATTTAAATTTTCATATGTTTTCTCTAAATTTCACATATCTAATTCAAATCTCATTTGAATGAGTACAAAAATATACTCACATTAATTAGAATTTAAAATCTAATCAAATATTTTAATCGGTGAATTATCCAAAATCTGTGGATACGAAGAATATGGAGAATGAGGGGATGATTCTGTGATGGATTCGCTTGTCTTTTTGTTGGCACGTGCTTTATGATTACTGGGCACGAGGATAATCAGTTGAAGATTAGGAAAAAAACAGGGGGCTATTCGCAATTTTTTTTAATAAAACGGTGGATAGGACAATATGAGATAAATGCAAAGTTGATTTCAAAATCCAGGCTCATTTCAAGCCAAGGATGATATTTGGATTGCGTGGAAAAAATCAATATCTCTTGAATAAAATTTTGTGTTTTCTTTTTTAAAAAGCATGTATTATCTTATTAGACGTAATTTTGTTCGAGTAACTATTAAGTAATAAATATTTTTTTACTAAAGTATAGGTATCCTGGTGTTGGAGAGACAATCCTATTCGAGACACTGTCAGGTACTAAATCTAAATACTTCTTCCAACAGAGATTCAAGTAATAAATATGAGCGTCTCTCCCAATAAAAATTTCATGTTCATTCTTAATGAATGACAAAAAAAAAAAAACACAAACACACAATTCTACATAGTAATTCTGTATCTGAAGTCCAACAATTTTTTTTAGCCCAACAATATTGAAGTCTTCTGGCCAGATAAAACAATATTAACATATTAGATGATAATACATAAATTTCCATTTACAAGATATTTCTTACAGGATTTTTTTTAGTGGTTTCAAGTTTCCCAATATAAAGAAATACTGATTAATTAGTGACATTATTCTCAAAATATCCTTCATTTGTTAAATGTTAGTAGTACTAAATAATGGGCACTTCTAAAATTTTATACTCTTTTTTTATAAATTTAAAATTTCTAACCAAACAAAGTGAAGGGAGCATATGTATATGTAGGTCCATATATTTTCCGAAGTTGTGGGCCGAAGTTGTGACAGATCCGGTTCATCGAACAACATGTAATATTCCTTCCATCTTTAACATAAGATTTATTTAATTAATTAAAACTAAACAACTTAGATTAATTGGTTAATTATAAGAAATATAATATGTTTTTTTTAAAATACCATGATAGTCTTTCTTAATATATTCCCTTCATCTTTTACTTGATTATGATTGAAGGAATATCAATAGAGATAATTTAAAAACATGATAAATATGATAAATAAATCTTATATTTGTGACCCAGATCAATTTTAAAAAAGTGTACAGTATGTCAACGGAAAGAGAAAAGTTCGACAAGAGCGCAACGTACTCAAACATAGCTAAGGACATTGGCTAAGATGCCTGCAAGGGTCGGGTCCGACTGGTCGCAAACGGGAACGCAAGGCGCCTTCCCTACCATGTCATGGGCTCGATACCTGCAAGTGCACTTGGGATTAGTCTGGCCGGTTGTGCTGGGATACCCTGAGGCAGCGATACCATCCTACTCAAAAAAAGGACATTGGCTAAGATAGGTAGATAAATCAAGCGAATGGGATTAATGGTAGTTGAATGAGTCCATTTCTAAAACGTTGGAATTAAAAAACTAAATTAAAATGCTTTAATATTCAGAAATTAAAAAGTCCTGAATTTGAAACTGCCGAAAACAAAGGCTCTTTTAAGCAAAAATATTTTGTATTTTCCATATAACTCTCAGCACAAAAGGAAAAAAAAAACCTCTCATTAAGGCTTTTGTTTCTACTAGGTATAAGTATCCTTCTATTAAAGATAATGATATTTAGGGCACTAAACATGGATATTTCTTTCAACGAGGGTTTGATCCTTGCTTTACCACCCCAATTCTTATTGGTCTGTGAGACATTTTTTAATTCACGCTAAAACTTCAACATGTTGTGCATGTTCCATAAGCGTGCAACACAGCATGGCTCTAGCTTAGTGATCTAACCCTACTCTTCAACTTAATACCATACGCCTCCGTTTAAAACTTTCTTCAAACACTTGTTATCAGAATGTTAAAACGTGAACATACACTTTCGCAACCAAACAGAGTTCTTTTGGCAAGTTCCAAATACTAATAACAAGCAGAATTGGTTCCCCCAAGAAGACAAACATGAATAATAGAAAACATCTCAAACTTCAAATCGATCTCAAGGCTGGTCCGACTGTCTGGAACGTCATGAATACCACCCCCCATCATTTGATTTCTGATAAAGCCTAATTTTTATATATTTTATCCCACATTAATTCAGGATTTAAATGATAATTTTGAGTTTAAATGAACTTTTTATGCATTATTGAATTAATTGGTTGATTTTTGGATTTTGCATAAAAATTGAGATTTTGGATTAAAAATATAGATATTTTGTGCTTTCCTATTTTTGACTTGGAATTAATTTTTCCTATTTCTTTGAAAACAAGTCTCATATTTTTGGAAAGACTATTTTTAGAAAGTTTTGTACTTTCTTGCCTAATTTTTGTGCATATCTAATATTTAATTTTTGATTATATTTGGATATAATCTACATTAATGGATACACTTAAATTCTTGTAGGTCAAGAAAGGGGCACATAGGAAATCCAATGGTGCAAGATTGTTTCTTGGACTCTAAGCACAATCCAATGGCTAATATCAAGTGGGTCAATTAATTACTAATGGGCTAGAGCTTTGGATCCATAAAAATTTCTTTTTCCCTCATTATACTATTTTCCTTATTTTTGGAGGAGATATTCACGCCTAGAGGGACACTTTTCCATCTCCATAGAAACGCATAATTCAACGCCTAAGGATACACCTTTTTATTCTCCATTGATTCACGCACGGATACCATTCATTGAACGTCAATTCTCTCCTTTCAACATTATCCCATATTCACCATATACCTCACGTCATTCACCCACCAAATTCAATCACCTCTATCTCCATTCATACACGCACAATTCCTCACCATCACCTTCAAGTAATTCATGGCTATGGCATCTAATAATCTTGGAGGAGGAGATAATACCATGGAAACTTAAGCTTATAGGGAGGCAACTTGAGAGGAGCATGAAGGAGACTAGAGCCTTGGACTAGCACTTGAAGACCACAAGAGAGTGATATTCCATTTATCTTTCTAATTCAAGGACTTGAAATTGTTTAGTTTTAAATGAGTTCAAGTTGTAATTTTGTTGAGACAATTTAGTTCTAGATTGTCAATTTTATTCTTGGATTAAATTGATATTTGGATCTTATTTGTGCCAAGATACTTGTTGGAATATACGTTTGGAACCTTTGCATTGTTAATTGAATTTATAATTGAGTTTTCATTATGAGTTTAATTATCAATGTGGTTTGAATTGCAAAATTTGGGTTCTTTCACCTCTTAATTGTTTAATTAAGTTGGTTGATTATCTGATTGTTTAA